CCTCTGCAGCACAACTTTACGCTGTGTGTGCTGGCCATCATCGTCATCAGCGTGCTGCCAGTGGTGTTTGAGATGCTTGCTGCACGCCGCGAGGCGGCATCAGGAAACAGTGGCGAGCAGCCCCCGCCTCCCCAGGCCGCATGACCGCGCGCGTACACCTGCCCATCGGCCTGTGCCCTTGTCAATTGACCAAAGCCGGCACCAGCACACTTCTGTGAATGAAATATTTCAGACATATGCTGCCTGTTGCCTTGATGCTGCGGCCCTGAGCGCACGCGCGTGGTTCACTCCGCCACAACACCCACTGCCTGACGCTGGATGCCAGTGCATTCCTGCATCGTTGCCTGCTGCGCACCCATTAATGAGGTGCATGACACAGCAACTTCCCCTCCTCTGTCTTGTTCCCCAACCGTCAGCCAGTTACTCTATCACTACGTCATGCATGTAAGAATGAACACGAGCGAGCAGCAATGTGGCACCTAATTGGTGTTGTGGCGCCCAAAGCTGATTAAAGCAGCCAATTTGCAAACAGCTCGCATTTTTGCAAGTGTGGCGCCGTCACCCCACCCACACCCGCACAGCAGCGATCATCCGCCCCACCAGGCACCCGCTGCACAGGCAATCCAACCTCACGGCAGCTGCGGCTTCAATCCTTGCCTTGGTGCAGCGGACGCCCATGTAGGGGGGTGTTCAGGTGTCACTGCTCCCATGGGTTGCAGCGGGTCAAGGTTCATCTCATGGGCACAACCACCACGGGCCTGTGGGCATGGTGGGTGACGTACCTGCAGGGTATTCGGGTTGTGGTGGGGGGAGAACGATGACACGGGGAGTAGCATAACTCGGCGCAGCAACAAAGGCTGAGGGGTTCGATGGGACGAATCCCCTGCCCCTGCATGGGGTGTGCCCCACATATGGCATACAGGCGGGGGGGGGGGCATCGCGGGGCCCATCGCGTCAGAGATCGTAGCCAGCACCGGCGGCGTGAGGGCTTTGTGGCACCACGACATTGCGGATTGCCAAACCCGAGCTCTGATGCGCCTGAAGCCGGCCTTATACATGTATACGTGATAGCACATATTCGTGCCACATGCGGGGCAGCTCACTGGGTGCAGCTGCCCAGGAAGAACTCTGCGACGCGCCCCTTGTTCTGAGATGACATCACCAGTGCCACCGCGTCGAGCGCGTCCGCCTTCTTGACCTGATTGTGGGAGGGCAGAGGTACAATCAGTGCGGCAGTGTGCAGGATAGAGGGCAGGGCACAGCAGCAGGGTGCAAGCCTATTCGCTCCCTGCACCACGCAGAGACCCATTGCACCAGCTCGCATTGACCGCCTTGAGCAGAAAAGACCCTGTGCACAACCAGGCGCCCACCAGGATGTGCCCGACCTGCAATCGCAAAGCGTTGGAGGTCGGCAGGAGAGGAGTCACGAGCAGCATGCGAAACCGTCAGGTGTGCAGCCAGCTGAGGCGTGCCACCGGGCAGGGGCACGGCGACCAGTCTGCGCGCAGTAGCCAGCTGAACTGCGATGCGCCCTGCTGCGATTCGCAACCTGGTGCATGCAGCTGGCGCACAGGTGTGGCACCAGCACCCTGGTCAAGGGAAGCGTTTGCAGGCAGAGGCGTCCAGGGCCGCCGCTGCAACCGGCTGCGAGGCCCACCGATTCAGTGTCGACCTCCGACTGGCAGTGGTGGCGTTGGCGAAGCCGGCGAGGTTGGGCGAGCGCGCGAGCACGAAACGAAGCGCGAGGCGTGCGCAATGTGGGCGGGCGGGAGGTTGCGATATGCCCAAAGGCTTTGGCCATTGTTGGAATGCGCTTGAGCACCGCATCCCACAGAAACTCAAAAGCAAAACAGCACACGCATGCACTGTACTGCTGTGGCTCATCAAGACGCATCCAGGGCGCTCCCCGCCAAAAACAATGCAAACTGATTAGAACTACGCCACCTTGATGATGTGAACAACGGGGCTGGGGGTGAAGTCAGCAGGCAGCTTGTTGACGAAGCGGTTGATGATGAACTGCTCGGCCCTCTGGATCACCTTCTCATACTCATTGCTGAGGGTGTGTGGAGGGTGCGAGATTGTGTAGGGGGCGCGCATCCACACACACACACATGTGTGTGTGCGCGTGTTTGCGTGTGTGCATTTGTGTGTGTGTGTGTGTTTGTGTGTGTGTGTGTGTGTGTGTGTGTGTGTGTGTGTTTTTGTGTGTGTTGTGTGTGTTTGTGTGTGTTTTGTGTGTGTGTGTGTTGTGTGTTGTGTGTGTGTGTTTTGTAGGTATGGGCATGCTCTTGAGATCCTGCAGTGCTGTTGTGCTGGCTGTGCTGCGCGCCCCCACCAGGGCGCTGGCAGCTGCATGCCAGGTAAGGGTGCTCGACCAGGCGAGGAAGCAGGCTGCGCGAGGGGTCCAACCCTTGCGCCCACCTGTCTGCCACGGGGACAAAATCCACCGGAGGTACGCCGTAGGCCGCTGCAAAATGGAGGCGTGGAACAATGTGCACCTGGGCATTGAAAGCGGCAGGGCCTATGAGGTTCGCTGCGCTCAGGATTGCGCAGAATCGCCGACGCGTGTGCAACGTTCAGGCGCAGGGGTCATCGCCGGAACGCAGCAATGGCAGCGCCGCACTTGCCAGCGGCACGGGGACAGCAACTTTGAGCGGCAGGGACATCTCCAACATGGCTGCTTCGGCGCCACAGGCCCCATGCTTTGGCGGGACGTCTCCGCACCAGATGCAGCTCCATGCCGGGCTTGTGCAAGTGGCGCACTGCAAAGTCGAAGGCCTTGTCGCTGCCCTCGCTGTCGTCCACAGCCACCAGGAGGACATCAGGGGCTTGGACGCCATTTTCCAAGTCGCCGCTCATGATGGCTGTTGGCAGAGGAGCGACGGCAGGTGTGCGATGTGCACTGCTGGGACGCGGCGCCACGCGTGCGACGAGCGACAGCGGGCGGGCGAGAGGCGCAGCAGCCGCTCGCACGGCGTCTGCCGAGGACTGTAGGCGGGAGCTTTGGGGTTGAAATAACAGCTACAAGAGAGCTCGCGGACCGTAGCACTTAGTTGCGGAGATCTCGTGTCAGTTGTTTGCAGCGACTAGATGATGACGTGAACGCGCTGTGATGTCTTGCGGAAACTGTTTGTATGATCATAGAGACAGTGAAGCATCTACAACAAGCAGCTCGAAAACGCACGGAATTGACGGTGCCTGGATGCCCCGCGCGCCGTTTAGCCTGACCACAGTGATTGTTTACAGCAGCCAAAATCAAGCGCGGCTGCTGGTACAACGCACGTGCTCGAGCGGCAGGCGAAGCCCGCTTGACGAGCGGGAGACATGCATGGACTCAACCGGCAGCAACCGGGGCTTGAGTGGCCGCCACCTTTCGCATTGCTCATCAGCCCGCGTCCGGGTCACGCCAGGGCGCCCACTGCCAAACATGTATCATCATGTGTGTTTTGAGCGAGCACCCAGATGCGCATGGCTAATGCGCGGCGTGGTGGTACCCCTTGGCCCTGGTGCCGTATGCAGCGGCTGCTGCGCATGCACCCACACGCTTCAGATGCGACATACATGCCGCAAAGGCGCGAGGGCTGCCTGCAGTGCGAGGTCCGTCTGAGGCACGAGCAATTACAATGATGGAGGCGTATGCAGTCACGCGGCGCCCCCTGTGCTGCCCTTTTTTTTCGCCTTCCGCCCTGGGGCAGCCGGCGCTGCTGCTGCCGCCGCTGACGGCCCGAAGCCTAGCATGGCCATGATCCCGTCCATAGACCGTAGCGCACCCGCGTCGCCGCCGCCATCAGCGTTGCGGGCGCCGGTGTCCCCTTCTCTCCGCTTCTCCCGCTTCTTGGCGCCGCGTTCCAACACGTCTGCCCCTGCCACCCCCGCCGCGCCAACAGCAGCTGGCTCCCTGCGCTTGTGTCTTTCCTTCTTTGGCAGCTTGTCGCCCTCGGCTGCCGCTGCTGCTTGCAGCTCCTCAACGGGCTGCTGCTCCTCCTCCTGTTTGTTTTTGCGTTTGCCCTTGCGCCTGCTCCCGCCTGCATCCTTCAGCTGGCTGGGCTTCTCGTGCCTCTGCTCCTCCTCCTCCTCCTCCTCCCTTTCCTGCTGCTGCTGGTGCAACTCTTGCTGCTGCTGTGCCTCCAGGGCGCGCCGCGCCTTCTTGCCCTCCGCCTTTTGCTCCTTGCGCCGCTTCTTCCCTCTGCCATCGCCGGTCCCAGCGCTCCCAGCAGCAGCGCCGCCGCCGCCGCCGCCTGCCTCGCCACCATCCAAGCCGCCAAACATCTGGTCGTACGCCCGTTTGGTGGCCGCCTGTGAGGCGGCGCGCTTCCGCCACTCGTCGGCGCTGCGCTGATAGGCCTCTACGCCCAGCGCGCGGGACAGGCGCGGCCACCAATAGCAGTGCTGCAGCTGCTGCGCCTGTGCCGCCACCGACGAGATGATGGCCTCCTTTGCCTCGATGTCCTGTTAGACACAGCAGTTGGCGGATGGCAGCGGCGCCAACAGAGAGACGTGAGCCAGCACAACAGACAGTGCAAACAGCTGCTGGCGTCAAGTGTGCATACAGCAAACCCAACCAACCCGTACATGAATGTAGTACAGCACTTGTCGTAGAGCAGCGACATCCGCATGCATGACAAATTGCACCCCTTGTAGATGCACACGCCGCCCCGCCCAAGGCACCCTCCATGTTGCAGAAGCCCCCACTTGCGCCCCCTGCTGCAGCGCTCACCCCCCAGCCAAAAGCCCGTTCCACCAGGAAGCTGCCTGGCGCCTTCAGCGCCACCTTCCCCCAGCTTCCGGCCAGCTTGCCCAGCAGCTGCTTCTTGGTCTCAGTCCCAGCGGGCCCCGTTATGAGCGCCTCAAGCACGCGGCTGCCAGCCGGGTCGGCGGCGCAGCGCGCGGCGTCCGCGGGGGTGAGAGCAGCGACGCTGGCTGCGAAGTCGCGACTGGCGTTCTGCGGAGGCCCAGGCGCGAGGAGGGACAGAGAGCTAACCGCACACGCAAGAAACGGGTTTAGAGTGCGCAGCTCCAGCCATCTCTGCAAGCACGCAAGCACGCATCCTCATTGTCGTCTCACTCCAGCTGCGACACGGAACGCACGCACAATCCCTGGGCAGCGGCTGCATCTATTTTTTGATGCAGCGCCGCATAGAGCTGCGCGCACGGGGCCCTGAACCTCCCTCCTTGAAACCGCTGTGGCCTGATTGAAGCCTAGCCGCGCCAACTGCCCAGCCCTCCCCTCACCCCAAGCCGCACACAGGCGCACCTTGGGGAAGCCCAGGATTGCAGCGAGCAGGGCGCAGCCGGGCGTGCTGAGCCGCGCGCCGCCGTCGTCGCCGCCGGCCAGCACCGCCCCGGTGTCGAGGGTCATCAGGGCCGGCGCCAGAAAGGAGGTGCCTTGATTGAGCAGGAGGAACGGCGCAGGGCGATGGGTTGCTGGAGAAAGGAAGGCTGTTGGAAGTGCAACCGCTGAGGTTGAAGCTGTACGAACAAGCGCAAGGGTCAGAGGGTCAGTAAGCAAAGGCCATGCCTGTTGAAGCCGCACATCGCACAGACCGTCCTGAGGAGAGTCTGCCCTTACAGGGAAGCAGGCCCACCCGCACCTTCCCGGCCCTGCCACTGCGGCAGGCCGCCTAGTGCCTTGGCGAGCGCAGCCGCTGCCTCGCGCTGGCAGGCGCCTGCGCGGCCGCAGGCGGCGATGAGCGCCGCAATCACGCCGCTGCGGCGCTTGAGCAGGAGCGGCCCCAGGAAGCCCTGCAGCTCCTCAAAAACGACTGCGACCTGGTGGGGTTGAGGGTGCGCGCAGGTTGGGGTGCAAGTATAGGAGATGGGATGGCGTGTGACAATGGCCGCAGCGGTATGAAGTGTTGATGCGGTTAATGCGCTGCGGTACGTGAACTGACACAAGGCCACAGATCGGCAAGCAGGCCGTAATGTTGAGGTGTGGCACGCAGGAGACAGTCGCTTGCAGCCAAGCCAAATGGGTCCTGCACCCGCCTGTTGCGTGACCTGCGCGCCCGCGAGCGCTGCGTGTTGCTTGCCCCTCACCTGTTGCTTGCCCTGCGCGCCCGCAAGCGCAGCCTGCACCACAAAATTTGCGGCGTGGTGGCTGGTGAGCGGCATTAAGCGGCCCTTGAGGAAGCGCTCGTGAAACTCGGACCACAAAGCGGGGGGCGCCACTGCCAGCACCACCTGCGTAGAAGAGAGCATCAAGTAAAGCAAAGAGCATGGGGCTTTAAACTTTTTGGGGGGTGTAGGGGAGCAATAGTCAGACGGCTAGTTGCGCCGCATGTTGACCTCGGAACGCAGGCGGCAGTGCCATGCGTGCACAGGCCGCCGCCACTCGAGCGGCCGCTGCAGCCCGTATGCACAACGGGGGCGCGGCTGAAACCGGAGGGGGAGCTCCACAGCGGGGCCCCACCCTTCTCCTGGCGCCGCCGCACCTCGAGCACCCTGCTGTACACGTCGTCACGCAGCAGCTTGCTCATGTGGCTCTCGGTGACGCTGGCCAGCACGCAGCCGGGCGCCGCCTCAGCGGCCGCGGCGGCGCTGACGCCAAGCATGGGCGGCAGGACCAGGCTCAGCAAGGCACTTGAAGGAATTACGACCGAGCAGCGCGCAGCGGGGGAGCGGGGGAGTGGTAGGTGGAGGTTGAGGGCGCGTTGGGACACGCACAAGCAGCACGGGTCGTCCCACCTACAGGGGCGGTGGCTATGCACGCTCACACCCCTGCGCTGGCCGGACCCGTGCGGAAGTCGCAGCCCCACCTGTCGCCCGCCACTGCGCGCAGCACCCCCTGCAGGAAGGGCCCGGAGTACGTATTTTTGGCCAGCGCCGCCATGCTGGAGGGCTCGTAGCACGGCAGCATGCGCGCCAGGCGGGACACCAGCCCGGGGAACAGCGGCGGCGGGTGCTCCAAGGCATGGCTGCCCGACAGCTTCTCAGCGAGCGGATCCACGGCCTGGGTTCGCGCAGGGGAGGAGGCCGAGAGGCCAGGTTGCCTGATGCCGTTGGCTACATGGGGGTGGGACTTGGGTGACGGTTGCCAAGCAGTCAGGTGCAGCAAAGCGCTGCATCGGCAGCAACCATCAACAAGACTAACAAGAGCACAGAGCGCAGAGCGCAGATTGCGGCACCCGCATCGCAAGTGTACCAGCCCCGCGCGCCTCACCTTGTCCCCAGCTCCGCCCTGCTGCTTGGCAGTACCGCCGCCGCCCTCGACACGGTCCTGCTGCTTCTGCTTCCCCTGCTTGCTCGCGGGCACGACGTCGCGGCCGGCCGCGGCGCGCAGCAGCGCGCGGGCCACGTGGGTGGCGTGGCGGTCCATCAGGTAGTCGTGCAGCTGGTCGCCCACCACCGCTGCCAGGCCGTCGAGAAGCCCCTCCAGCGCCGCCGCGTCATCGCCGGACAGCTGCCCCGCAGCCGCCGCGGCCCCAAGGCGCGAGAGCAGCGCCTCGGCGACATGCGAGCCGAATGCACTGCGGGCGGCGAGGTGGTGGGTCGCAAGGGATGAAGGGGATCAGCAAGGCAGGGCAGAGTTTGCCGCTTGCTCGTGCATCGGCGCTCATGTGGCACATGGATTTTTGCAACAAAAACCAGGGCGACCGACTGCTCAACAAGGTGTTTGTTGCACGCCCTGTGTTAGCATTAAGAATTCATAGCAGCGCAAGTGGCCGCAGCCGCCATGGTGAGTGATACCCGTTCGCACGCAGTGTACTCCCTGCACCTTCCAGCAAGCTTGTACATGTCGTCCTCATCAGTGAATGCGCCCAGGAATGATATGAGGTGCCGCGGCGCGGCCGGCGCCAGCAGCGTTTCCAGCAGGCGGCTGCACACCGCGTCTGCAGCGATGCGGAGCTCTTTGCCCTCGAGCTCGTCCAGCACGTTGTTCAGAAGCAGTTCTCGCTCTTCGGGGTCTTCCAGCGTCGCTAGGTGCTCGGAGACCTCCGTCAAATAGGCGAGCGTCTCGGGCTCAACGCGAGACTTGCCGGGCTCCCACGGCACCGTTCCATACGTCTGCTTTGGGCGCTGCCGCTGCTCTGCGCCCTCGTGCGCTGCCTTGTCGTCCGCCATCACGTCGCGGCGAGGCACCGTGAATGCGAACGATCTTGTCAACCTGGCTGACCTGCTCAAAAGGGAAACACAAAGACAGTATCGTATACCAAAAGCCGGGTGGGCGTCGCATGCTTGAATGGGGGGGCAACGACTCCCTTTGCCCGAGGTGCAGCCTGGTCGAGACGGCGAGGCGCCGCATGCGGCTACAGTGTGCGCTGCTGCTGTACCGGTAGAGCTCGTTTTCGACTGACTGTGAATGCACACCTTGCTGGCTCGCGCTGCCCACTCTGGCCTTGTGAGCATACCAATAATATCAGCCCGACACATGCAACGCCCTGCACGTAGCAGCAGGCCGCATGTACAAGGCCGGCCTCAGGTCGCCGCGACCGTCAGCACCGCCTCCCGTGCGCTGGTTGCATGCGCAGCCGCCCGCCAGCCGATGGCGATGGCGCAGCTGCAGCTGATGAATTGGGGCCTAGCACCAATGCTTGCAGTGGGTGGTTCCGAGGGCCGTGGTGGATGGAACCGTGGTCGCGCGGCGCTGCTGTGTAGCAACAGAAGGCAAGCACAGGTTGCTGACGCATTCAAACAGCTTGAAGTCTCCTCGCCCTGAAATGAGGAGCAAGCCCCCGGTGCACGCCCCTCGCTAGCCGACAGGCTCGCTTTTCTGGCAGCATAGGCAGCGCTCAAATGCTGCACGTTTGACCCTGGCGTTAGTTGGCTCCATAAGCGCCTCTTGGCGCACTTGGCGCACTTGGCGCACTTGGCGCAAGCGTGCGACCTAGCATCAATTGGAGCACGGTCGGGCGGCGGCCGGTAATTTTCAGGGAAGCGATCAGTAGTTTGCTCGCGGCGGTGGCTGCCATGTTGTGGGGTTGCTTATGTGTGTGTATGTGTGTGTGGGTGCCGGCGTGTGTGTGCACGTGGGGCGTGGGGCGGTGAGGGTGTGTGGGGGTGTGGGGGTGTGGGGCGGTGAGGGTGTGTGTGAGGGTGTGTGG